TTATACAACTCTTATACAAAATAAAATTGTGTAAACAGTAAGTCACATGACAAATGTGAGACTGGTGACAATTTCTTGTTGCCAAGCAACGACCTATCCCCAGTGTTTCAAATACACCAGATGATGCAGATTATAATCACATTACACATTTCATTACACTTTGAATCTAACAAATTTGTTTACTTGATTCAATATATTTGTACACAACTATAAAAAGTATATCCCCCAAAATATAACTTTTGAAAGATTTCAAAGATACTTACTAGAAACTGATTCACATAATTTTGTCTATTGTAGTATAAGTCGAATGTCTAACTTTAGTTCTTTTTTTTATGTAAAGTAAAAAAAATCTATGAATAAGAAAAAAAAATAAAACTCTTGAGCAATAATAATGAAAACAGTACTAGGCAGTGTTTTGCTAACTTAAAGCGCAGTAGTCGACGCACTGCGCATGTGCCACATTGGTATTGATAAACATTGATTTTCCCACAATCCAATGCACTCTTCAAATGGAAATCACAAGTATGAGGTTTGATCTTGGCGCGACTTGTACTGATTACCGCCGGTGACTCCTTCGATGCCTTTTTGATGAAAATTACTTAATTAAAGCTCGGGAACGTTTCAGTTCGTACTGGTTGATCTGCGCAACAATCAAAGGCGCCATCTTTGTTTATATGAGACCCATATATTTCGCACATGCGCAGCGCCACGACTACTGCGCTTTAAAGTGCAGATTAAAGTTACAAGATCACTATAAAGCTATTTTATTACATGAATTCCTGTAGAGGGCACTGTTCATGGTTTCCTCAACACTAGAGGGAGTCCTAAAACCATGTTAAAACCAAAGACATTAGAAAATGTCTTTGTTAAAACCAACAGTGATTCCGTTTCTTCCTTTCATCTCAGGGTACCTGATTTAGATGGGTAGAGCGAGGTGGTTGTATACGGAAAATATAACACCTGGAAAAGTAATGATGTCGACAAGGCTTGAAAAATAAGTGTTTGTAACTTACAAGTTATGTGTCAATATCTCACTAACATCACTCACTGATAAATTGATTTAATATGAGGAAAATGCGTTTGAAATGTGACATTACTTTGTTCACCAGCTCAACAGGAATGAGTTCAAAGCCAATAATGATGTACCCTTTGCAATTTTGATGTCACGGTAACATAATTAAAGATGCAAATGCAACAAATGACAGTAAAATAAGTTTAAAGCTCCACAAGAAAAAAGTACAGATAGAGGACCTTATGAAATGTGATAATCATATTAATTCGCAATATTTATAAAAACAAATTTACCTCATTTTGATCCGACCAAAAATCTATATTCACAAATAAAATCCCACTTTAACTACCACACTTCTATTACAATTTCAGATGGTCACTAAAAATCATGATTTGGTTAATAAATCAGTATCCCAACTGGGGCACATGCTAAGCTGGTATTACATCCATAATGTGAGTAACTGAGTAGTATTTATCTGTTGAAGTTGAGGGCACTCTACTAAGAACCAAACAAAGCATCCCCATACAATCTTTACAACTACTAACAGAATATCAGAAAGAAATGTCACAATTCTTTGGTGAACCCTGTAAATCTAGGCAGTGAGTTCTATTTCTATATTTTCAATTTTTTTCTTATAAAACAGTACAAATATTCGAGTAATTTTATTTGTCTTTCTAAAAAATCATGAATGGAAATGTGTTGCTGATGAAATCATTTTATCCAAGAATCAATTGCAAGAATCAATTCACTAAAAGAGCCCTAATTATGGATAAACTAGTGACATCATAGATGACAATTAAGTACTTTTTTGAGGGAAATTATTCCTTATTTATCATCAGTACATATCGTAAATTTCACATTTATTTACACAGCACTACAAGGGTCACCATTCTCATCCTTGTAGGTCATCGGGATCGGTGTGGAAGTCCGTTGTCTGATTACATCACCGTTGCCTGTGTGATGTCCACTGATGTTGGTTGTCACCGCAGACTCATCAAATTCAACCACACGACTTGACTGTCCCCTGAAATAAAATGAGAAGCAACAATAAAGCAGGTTTCTTGTTTCAGCAAAGTGAGAAAAAGAAGGTTAAAGAACAAATTATCCTATAATCATTATGTTATGACCTCCCAAACCAATATATACTGGATATGTGAGAAACACTCACATTCAATGGCACAATGCCTGTTATGATCATGGACACTAGAATGAACACAGTCATTAACAACCATCTTTTTATGCAGGAACATCATGTCTCATCTTGAACTTGAATATGTTTTATATAAAACACTTTGGATGATAATTTACTTATTATTATTACAATGTAACTAAATACTGTAAAATACTTTATTTCTGCTTGGAATTAATTTTCACTATTTTACCTTTTTTTCCTATATTTTACATTCAACTCACCAAAAATCAGTGAAAATAAATTCCATACAAAACACCCAAAAAGTCTTTTCAGCAAAAATTAATTCCAGCTAAAATAAAGTATTTCACAGTAATACAATAATAAGTAATATAATTTGAAGAAAGTTGAAAAAAAAATTAACTTGACACACTGTGGTGCGGAAGATGACACAACACACTGTTCATTCTAGTGTTCATTGCAGTATGACATCAGTGTTTGAAATTATTAAAAATTGTGTACCAGACACCAGAACAATTTTACCAGCCCTGCAAAACAGTTACCAGCCCTGCCAAACAGTTACTAGCCTTGCCAAACAGTTACCAGCCCTGCCAAACAGTTACCAGCCTTGCCAAACAGTTACCAGACCTGCACAGTTACCAGCCTTGCCAAACAGTTACCAGCCCTGCCAAACAGTACC